TTTGGGGTTTACTCAGCTTCTTGAAACTGTAGGTTTACAACTCTTGCCAAATTTGGAAAGTTTTCAGCCATTATTTCTTTGACTACCTTTGCAGCACTTCCCTCTTTCTTTTCCTGGGATTCAGACGACATATTTATGTCATCATTATATCTGGTGTTGTAGTCCTACATATCCTGAAGGCCATTTTTTTCCCCCAGTCTATTTTCTCTGTTTTTTGGATTGGGCAAATTTTTTTTTTCTAGTGTCATGTTCACTGATTTTCTTTTGTCTCTTCCATTCTGTGGTTTAATTCATCCATTAAGTTTTTTAATTTGGTGGTTGTATTTTTAGTTCTGAAATTTCCATTTCGTTCTTCTTTATATCTTCTATTTCTTTGCTGAGGCTTTTAATTTTTCATTTGTTTCAAGTGGAAGCGTTTTGATGCTGGCTCATTTAACATCTCTACCAGATAATTCTGACATTTGTGTCATCCTGGTGTTGGTGTCTAGAGATTTTGTTTGTTTGTTTCAGTTGAGATCATCTTGGTTCTTGATGTGGTGACTGATCTTTGATTGCATGTTGTGTTAAGAAACTGGGTCTTATTTAAGTCTCTGGGGAGAACAGAGCAGAGCAGAGCAGGCCACCTCTGACACTGATGGGGGCAGGTGGATGCTGCCTGGCCCTCTGGCGGGCATGGAATCCAGGCTTCCCTCCTGGCCACCACTGACATTGTTGAGGGGGCTTATTGTCACCTAGTGGGAATGGAATTCCCTGATCTCCTCTGATGTTACCAGGTGTGGGGGGGTGGACCAGGTGTTTTCTTTGGGGTTGACTGCAGTGAGCAGTTATCGTCTCAGAATGTTTTGTCCTGCTAGGCTACCCTGGTCCTGGTCCTCTGGCCAGAGGCAGCTGGCTTTTGTTGAGGGTTGTCTACATTAGTTGGCGTTTCTGGGTTGCTAGCTTCTCCAGCACCTATTCTGAGATATACGAAGCAAAAAGAAAACCAAGAACTCAAAGCTGTGTCTTTCTTTGGGCCCCAAGGTCCCTTCCAAGTCTGTCTGCTCTCCATCTTTCAGAGTCTTACGTTTTGTTTTGTTTTGTTTTAAATGTAATATGTTTTTAGCTGCATTTAGTGGGCAACGGAAGTCCTGTTTATGCTTTTAAAATGTTTCATAAATCCTGATAAATGGCTTTGCTTGCCATGAAGGTTGAATACTTTGTGCTCTGAGCAGCACTTTTGAATGGTGCCTGTTTACCGCACCCTGGAACACTGCAGTCAGGGCACCTCCCAGCTCAGGGTGCAGCCTGGACAGATGATCTTGCAGACCCCACACACTGAAGCTTGTTGGGGTTCTGACTGTGGACATGGAAGTCATTCCCAGCGATCTGTTCAGCTACCCACTCCAAATTAACTTGCATTTCAGTTGACCTTGGGAACTTCAGCTTTTTAAGAGATATCTTTAGTTGGTCTTTTTTCCTGGTAAATTTAAAGTGTGCAGAGTGCTTTCATGTTTGCAGCATAATTACAAAAGAAACATTGTGAGGGAGCAGAGTGATCACCCCTTTCGCTGACTGGGAAAGGGGGTGAATGCAGATCAAGTGCTGTGTTTAAGGTGCGAGCCCCAAGGTCCCAACTCTGCCTCTTTGCCCGCAGGCTTAGGCATCATTTCCATGTAGGACTGGCAAAATACCTCCACGTTTAAAAGTAATCCTCACTACCTCCCTACCTCTCAGTTAGGTTTGCTGAAAGCATCACAAGTGAAAGACTGGATTCTTGGAGACTCTACTTCTGAAGGGAGAGTTGGTATTTGTGCTCTCTCATCTAATCTTTGCATCCCCCTAAAGCTAAAGTGCTTGTGGCAGCATCAGAGCTGTGCAGCCAGCATCGTCTTCTGGGTTGGTCGTGAGAATCTTCGAGTCCGAAACCAAAAAAAAAGAAGGAAAGAAAATGTTTGCAAGATGAGCTGCTGTTCTTTGGAAATGGTTGTCGGGCAGCGCCTGGGGACAGCCACTCAGTGGTGCGTGGCTGTTGCATGGAAGACTTACTTCGGGACAGGCTGTGCACAGGCTGTTTCTGCTGATGTGCCTCTTTAATTGCCCTCTGCCTGGCCAGTGTGACACTGATAGGCATCAGGAGTCGGTGTGTCCCCATGGGCGGTGGCCTTGGGCAGGGTGTGTGCAGGTTGCCCTTGAGTCAGGGTGTGTGCAGGTGCCCAGCACAGATAAAGTCCTACCTTCTTCCAGCATGTAGTCAGTCTCCTAAGGGCAGGGCCCTGAATGCTGAAAAACAAATTTTGCTTTGTTTTTTTTTTAACTTTTTCAACCGTATTGTTCTGAAATGTATAGGTGTATACTTGCACCTTGAAATTAATGGAGTACAGTCTCTTTGTGTACTTTACTGATGTTGATAGGTTCACTTAGTTTTTCTTGGACACTTTCTTTTTTAGAAAACAACTTCATTGAGGTATAATTTCCATGCCATACAATTTACCCATTTAAATTGTGTGGTCGAGTGTTTCCAGTCTAATAGAAGGTTTTGCAACCATCACCATAATCTAGTTTTAGAGCATTTTTATGCCCCCTAAAGAAACCCCCACACTTGTCAGTGGTCGCATCTCACCCCGCCTCAGCCCTCGGCAACCCTGCGTGGACTGTCTGTCTGTAGAGCTGCTGCTTCTGAACACGTCATATAAATGGAACCACACGACCTGTGGGCTTTGGGAATGGCTTAGTTCACGGAACATAGTGTTTTCCAGGTTCATGTGTCATGTGTCAGTGGTTCTCTCCTGTTCTTTGCTGAATGTCGTCTGTTGTGCGGCTCTACCACATTCTGTGTTTGCCCTTCACCTGCTGGCGGACGTCTGGCGTGCCCACTGTTTGACTGGTAGGAATAATCGTGTACAAGTTTCTGGACACATGCTCTGAGTTGTCTCAGTCATGTCCCTAGGAGTGGAATTGCCGAGTTCCTTGGCCAGTCTGTGTTTGCCGTTCGGAGGGACTGCCACCTACTGGACTGCCGAGGGCTAGAAATGCAGCTTGTCTAGGGTCCCACCAGCCGGCGGCCTGCTCTGGGCAGAGCAGGGGGAGGGAGCAGTTTTGTGGTGGTCAGTGCAGCACTGTTAGTGCGGCGTCCCAGCGGCTGGTGAAGGTGCTACTGTGTTTGAGGAGAAGCCGGCCGGCCATAGGTGTGTCAGGCTGCCGAGGTAGTGATGACATGGGAGGGACACACGTGTCCTTCGGAGCTGAATAATTAAGAAAGGCAGCCCTGAGAGTGGCAGTAGGGGGATGGTTGCCATCGGTGTCTTTAGCGGCCCGCTGCCTGCCTTCAGTTTTCTCGTGGGAGAAGTTGGAGCGTAGGTGGATGGAGGGAGAACTGCTGAAGGAACCCAAAACTTTGGCTTTAAGGTACAAACACTGCAGGGGTTAAGTTTGCATTCCTAGCTAGAGCCAAAGGGTCACTTCGGAGGAGCAGGTTTGTGTGTGTGTTTGGCTTGTTTTGAGGCACCCATTCTGCCTTTCCCTTGTGCCCATCTGTATTTTCTGAGCAACAGAGCAGCCGCACACACTGCCGGTGACGGTCCCTTAGGCGCATTCTGATCATCCTCAGGCCGAGAGGCAGGGTCTTACACGCAGTGCAGAGGACGGTTCATGAACATTCATTTCTGATTCCCAGCAGGTCTCGGCCTGGAGCTCTTCCAGGTGGGTGTGCAGGTGGGCCGCTTGCTTCCAGGTAGATTCCTGGGCAGAGGCCTTGGTGAGCCGGAGTCCCTGCCCAGGCGCCCCTCCTCTCCCAGGGCCCCTTTTGCCCAGATTGGAAGTGTCCTTGTCCCTTTCTGACGGGGTCCCCGCCCAGTGGCATTTGGGGTTGTTGGAAGTGGTTCCGAACCCTCTGGGAACAATTTGAATAAACTCTCATAATCTGGAGGACAATCAGCTTTCATAAAATGGCTGCTTTTCTTAGGAGTTATAAATTAGACTTAGTAGAATTATGACCTCAAGTGCAGAGTCCATTCAGATCAGAAGCAAATAGATTTATCCATCCCCTCTCCTCCCTCAGGCCTGGGTGTTTCCTCCCTTCCCCTCCCTCACCCCCCCCCAAGCTGTGCTCCCCTTAAGCCCTGACCTCTCCTTCCTCCAGCCCGTGGCTGCCATCACTGAAGGGTAGGGAGAACAGGGACTTTGCTGTTAGGAAGCCTGGGCTGGGAGCCCGGCTGTGCTCTTGATGGCCCTGTGACCTTGGGAGGACGTAAGCAAAAACTCAGGGGTGCTCTGTAGGACGGAGGGGTTTGTGGGCTAGTGGAGAGTCCGGCATGTCAGGTTGCTGCCCAGAGTGTGCAGATAGGAGGGCTGGGCATGTCCGTCTTCCCTGTGTGAACGCTTTCCTCTGACCCTCTGAGCCGGGTCCCTGTCCCCATCCCACACCCCATGGTCCCCACCACGTGTCCCTGTGCTCCTCCTGTTTTCTCACTCTCTGCCTTTCCGCTTCTGCTTCCGGAGGAGCACTCCCTTCCGGAGGCTGCTCTCCCCTCCAGCCCTGCAGACCCTCCCTTGGTGGCTGCGCCCTCGCTCCCAGGAGGTCTGCTGGCACTCTGGGCACTCTGTGCTGTCTGTGGTTTTGTTAAAAAGTTCTTTCTCTTCTGCTCAAAGATAAGTTATTTGAGAACCCTTTCCAGTTTCTCTGGTTCTGCAAACACCGTGAGCCCTGCAGGCACTCAGTAGTTCCCGGGTAGAGGAGAGTTGTTTTGCAGTTAGTCCTGATCTGATCCCTAATTGGTCCATCCTTATCCCTTTCCTGGTTGTTTTACAGGACGTGTGAACTTAGAGCACGTCGCGTGTTTACACTATGCAGTGGGCTGTGCCCCTCAGACCTGACTTAGCCACGTCCTCGGTCACTGCATGGAGAGGCTGAGGCCACCTGCCACATGTGCCCCTGAAGTCTGTCCCCCAGCTGAGCCTGCGGCTTTTCCCAGGAGTCTTGTCCACTGAAACACTCACTCTAACTGCCCCTCTTTTCTGTGCAGGCGGTGGTGAGAAGCTCCTGGACAAGAATGTTTCACTTAAGGACTTGTGCGGCCAAGTTGAGGCCGCTGACGGCCTCCCAGACTGTTAGGACGTTCTCCTGGAACAGAGTGGCGGCCGCTAGGACGTTTGGGAACATCCGGTGCTACACGGCACCGGTGGCCGCAGAGCCCTTCCTGAGCGGGACAAGTTCCAACTACGTGGAGGAGATGTACTATGCCTGGCTGGAGAACCCCAAGAGCGTTCACAAGGTAAGGCTTACAGGAGCGCCACCCTCTATGTCTGGAGCCAGCCTGCTGTCGGCCCGTCAGCGTCCAGGTCAGCGCGTGCGTCCTGGGGGCACCCGGCAGGCGGCCAGTGGCAGGCGGCCGCCCGGGCCCAACACACACTGCTCCCTGGAACGGCAGCAGCTAACCCGCCAAGACCTCGAGAAGCACTTGCACCACTTCCAGGACCTCAGCAAGGCTGCTGGAGGGTGGGGACGCGAAGAAAGGAGATCCCAGGAGGGACCAGCCTGGGGACGCTCCTCCGAGCCGGCGTCTGGACCTCACGTGATGTCATTGTCACTCAGTCTACATTGCAGTCTCCTGTTTTCTCCTGTACTTGAGAGAAAACTGCACGGGGGCTCTCTTCTGCCATCTGTCACCTGTAAGGCGCTGCCAGCTGAGTGCCTCTTGTTACAGCATGCTTGGCCCAGGGCACACCTGGTGGCAGGACTTCTCAGCACTTGGCCAGTGGATAGTTGTAGGTTTGGATGACCATTTGTTGGTTTTCAGGCCAGGCAGCTGGCCTATTGTGGGAGCTGGGGGGTGAGTACCCGAGCTGCCCAGGAGCAGAGGGCATGGGACACAGCAGGGGTTGGCACAGAGGTGTGTCATGCAGGCTGGCATCGTCACTCTTGATTTGACCTTTTCCTTCCTTGAGAATATTGGGGTCTCCATTGGGCCCCGAGGATAACCTTTACCCTGAGGTGCTGGTGACATTTAAGATATGATGCAGTCATGTGACTGCTGGAGCCAGCAGCCCTGTCTTGTCAGCAATGCTGCCTGTTGGCCCTAACCTCAGTGCTCAGCAGAGGAGGGCAAGGAGCCAGGTCCTTCCCATTTCCGCGGCCACCCGAGCAAGGGGACCCCTGGAGTCTTTCCCAGGCTGTAAACAGGACTGCCTGTGCTGTTGCCGGCTGCAGGTTTCCTGTGACAGTGGCTGCAAGCTTGTCTCTAGAGTAAACTCAGCCCAGAGGTCTCGGCTCAGGCTGTCACCTGGTGTCAGGCTGTGCTTTGCTTCCCTTTCCCCAAACCTGCCTGCGTGTGGAACCGAGCAGGTCTTCTTAAGTTACAGCTGGTTTTAGAGAGAAAGGCAGCTGGGTGGACACAACGAGACAGGTCTGGTTTCAGGACGATGGAGAACGTCACGTGGCTCTGTGGGCAGGGCCTGGAAGGGGCCAGGGCACAGAGGCTCCTGCGGAAGCTTTTGGAAGGGTTTTAGGGGATATGACCCTAGAGCAGTGATGCCTAAGTGTGCTGATTTTCCTCGAAAAGCTTTTTTTCTTTCCTGAGGTACCTTACTATTATCATTAGTGTTTGTGTTAATATCGCATCATTATTGTTTTTTTAAAAACTCACTCTTCAGAGGAGTGTTAGGTTCACAGCAAACTCGAAGGGCAGGCACAGAGTACCCACATACCCCCCCAACACGCAGCCCCCCCTACTGTCGTCACCCCCACCAGAGGCATGACCTTTGTTCCCGTTGATGAACCTACACTGACACGTCATCGTCACCCCAAGGCCACAGTCTGTATCAGGGTTGGTTCTTGGTGGTGTGTGTGCCCTGGTTTTGGCCAGATGTGTAATCACAAGTGCCCCTCACTGTACCATCACACAGAGAAGTTTCGCTGCCCTGAAAACCCTCTGTGCTCTGCCTATTTTTGAAAACTAGTTTTACCACGTGGTATCAGGGCAGGCACTGGGGGCACCTCGGGCTGGGAGGGGATGGTCATGGTGGCCATCGTCCCCGGGGTGGGACGACACGGTGGGAGGTCTGTGGGGGGAGAATCCAGGGTGGGGATCGGGTCCCTGGGCTCTGAGGGTCAGAGTGGGCACCTCGTCAGAGACTCGGCAGTGGGGGTGGGTGGAGGAGCTCAGAAAGGGACTTGACAGTTCGCTGAGGGCACGCGTACTGGCGTCTTCTGGCCAGATTTTATGCACTGGCTTCTGTTGCTGGGGTTCTCCAGGGTACACAGCACCTTCTCAAGGGAGAAGGACAGGGTGGCGTAAACCAGTGGGCAGGCAGCAGTCCCCGGTCCCCTCACCCCCCGCCATCCCAGCACGGTGGGGCTGAGCACCTCGCCTTGGGCCTGGCCAGTGCTCGTTTTCCAGGGACACGGTGCAGATCTTTGTTCCGGTTTTCAGAGGCATCTGTGACCCGGGGAGGAAGGCCTTAGGAGTAGCAGCTTGGTTAAGAACGCCACGTTTGGCTGGCTGTAGCACATGTAGTTCAGGTCGAGGTACTGAAGTAGATCTTGAGGTTGATTTGACCTTCTGACGTCTCGTGTGCATCAAGACAGGCTGGGCTCCCTGTGCTGACCTGTCACTCTCGCCCTCCGCCACCAGAGCAGCTGGGGGAAGGGCCAGCACAGAACTCCTCCGAGTCTGGCAGAAACAGAACAAACTTAGCATCTCCCCCTCCCGCCCTTCTTTGCTGTGCTTCCCTGTTATTATTTTTTAAACTTTTTGTGATGTTTTTGAATATACAGTAGAGAGAAGTACAAAATGAGCATCCGTGAGGAGAGCCATTGCCCACCATGGGCAGCTCTGTAGTTTGCAGACTCTAAACAGCTGCTCTCCCCACTCGCTTTTCTGATTGTTGGTCTGTTTAGTGGGGGCCCATGAAGGCAGGTTGCAGATCTGTGTCACCTTGCCATGAGTGTCCGGGCTGGCTATAGCTAACGGAGCATGTTCTTAACAAGAAATTAACAAAATTAACAGGCCATCCTCTGCTGTAATCGGTTCTCTGTATTTGGCCCCTTGTGATTATCTTTTTTTTTTTTTTTTTAAGATTTTTATTTTTTTATTGGGGAGTTGGGGGGATGGGAACAGTGCTGGGGAATTGGGGGAAGGGGAACA